GAGGGACGTATCTTAGACGTTACGAAATATAATCCAAATCATTAAATATAAATGACGTAAATCGAAAAACTTATTTTCGTTTAACAGTTACCAAATAATAGCTTAATTTATTAATATATGACCACTTTGAATTCCTCGATATCGAGAGTTAATTTTCTCGTAATTCAAGTCTCGATATGGCTAATTTCATTAGTGCTGATGCGGTAAAGCAATGCAAGTTCAGTATGATGTACAGTTGAAGTTTAACGTGTCATGTAGTTTCCACATCCAATCGTTCATTCATATGTTATGGAAATTATAATCCTTATTTACTTTATTACGACGCAAAATAATAATACAGCTTTTACTTCAGTTTTTTTAGTTTCTTATGTGTCTAAACGAGAGAATAATATAAAAACGTGTAAGACTATTATTTATTTTAATCAATTATCTTAATATGTTCTTTCTTTATTCCTTAAAATTAAATTTATTAAAAGATGCCATGAATACAAAAAAAATGCGTGAATTGTTGAATAAATTTCAATGTGATATAAACAATTAAGATTAATATGTAGGATTCTTTTTGAAAGAGAATGCATGTACGTCTCGCATTTTCAATGCGAAATATCAAAGATCAAAATATTCATGGATATGAATTATGCATTATCCTGTTAAATTTACAATGACATAGTCTAAAAAATAATATGTAAATGAAAAAATAAAAACATGTAAATAAAAAATTGCATAAGAATTTTCTTTCGTAGATATTTAAAGAACTTAACAGTCATACGATTGATTAATTTGAAAATTAGCACGTGCAGACGTATATAGATCTAGTAATCGAATGATATCAAGATAGATAATAAATTAATAATAATTCATTATTATTGCAACCATAAGAATCACAACAAATTGAAGGGATGGGCGGAATAAAGACTTAATTACAAAATCTTGATATTGATAAAAATTAAAATAACTTGCTACTTTTTTATTATATATTGCTTTTTATTATATACAAATGGATACAATATCAAATAAATTTATGTAATGTCTAAAAAAGTTACATGTTACAATATTTTTCTATTATACGATCAATAATACATGAAAAAGCTAATTGCCGGAAAAAGGACTTAAGTAGAATTGTGCTTTTATTCCGTCTATTCCCTCAATTATTACATGTACGATATGCACGTGAACAATAAAGATACATTGCGGACGTAGGATGCAGCCGGTAAGACAAATTGTTGGATTTCGAACGTCATTCGCGATTCCTCGCACGTATTTTGTTCTACACGTAGCTCATGCGAATATTGCGAATTGACATATAGCTCACATTTGTCCGATTTGCACGTTGTAGAAAGTCATTTCTGTTATTACTCTTGACGTAATTTGATAATTTATAGGAAATAAAAGAGATTCTCTATAGGTGTGTTAACGACGAAAATTTTGTATTGCAGAAAACCGTATTTTTCCGCATAATATTTATTGATGCGAGAGAAAAATTGGAAATAAAGTATTATTTACATTTATTGATTTTAAATGATAATTGCTTTTGTAATATTAATAATTTTATATAAAACATGTAATGCAATTTTTACAATGAAAAAAATTTCATGTTTTTGTTACACATTAAATAAATTATCATTATATTTTTCTTTATTATATTTTTTAAAGATATTAATTATTTATTGCTAATTAATTTATTTTTATTTTTTTTTAAATTGATACGCGCAATAAAAAAAGATA